TTAGGAATGACAAAAGGTAAAAAAACAAAACACGTGGACAGGTGTATCTATTGTAAATCACTGGTGAGTTTTCCACACCGGACCAATGCCAGTCACTACTAGGGGACATAGAAAACAATGACATTTTATGTGCCCCATTCACACCACAACACTGGTGTATTGTGCAGTGGGCTGTGTTAAAATGCAGACACAGCCCAATGTAAAGTGCTGCCATGAAGAGACAATAATGGAGTGTACACTTTATATTTGTAAATAAATATTAGCAGATTGCAGAATTACTTTCATTTCATTATAATTTGTGAAGTAGATTTGACTACGGCCTGTCCTAACAAAGGGTTAAAGGATTAAAAGCCTGACTTTTGCCTTGTATGTTCATTAATGAGGCAAACACAATCCGAGAAACACAATCCACAACATTCTGTCCTAAGTTTTTCTATAAGACAGATTACGGTGAAGGTGGTCGGAAAAACGTGGATTCTGCCAGCCATTTTGCCTGCTGCAACAAAACATCTAAAAAGGTAAGAAATACACACCCTATTCCCTATCCATGATGGCGTCCCTTCGCTTGGTGACATACAATGTCAGGGGCCTCAATGCCCCCACTAAAAGGCACCAAGTCTTAAACGAATTGCATATACTGCAGGCGGACATGGTCTTCCTACAGGAGACTCATATCTCCCATGACTCCACGCTGCGCCTGCACTCTAGGTACTTCCCGCACTGGTATCACTGCACGTCTCCTACCAAACGGGGGCGTGGGGTCGCCATAGGATTCGGGAAGCATGTCCCTTTCATGGTAACTGACAGATTGGTAGACCCAGAGGGCAGATTTCTTTTTCTCCATGTTGAAATGTATACTTTGGCGAACGTTTATTGTCCGAATTCCTCACCAGCTTCCTATTTCAAAAAAATATTTGGTAAACTGCGGAGCTTTCGCTCTGGCCACCTGGTGATATCTGGGGACTTTAATTTCTGCATGGACCCTTCCATGGATACATCTACGGGCCACGCCTGCAATCCTTAATACTGTATGTAGAGCGCTGCATGGTCTCCACTTAGTGGATGTGTGGAGGGTACTTCATCCAAAAGAAAGGGACTACTCTCATTACTACTCCGTCCATAATTCCTACTCGAGGCTGGACATGCTCTTCATAGACCACTTCCTCCTGGAAGCAGTACAAGCCGCGAATATCCTCCCTCTCACCTTATCAGATCATGCTCCAGTGTCTGTATTACTTTCCTTATCAAATGCCCCATGTAGAAGCTACAATTGGCGGCTTAACGAATCTCTTCTTCACAACCCACTGGTCGTTGCAACAGTAGCTGCCAACATTGATACTTACTTTCAGGAAAATGTCCAAGATCAGGCCTCCCCAGCCATCCTCTGGGAAGCCCACAAATCAGTGATTCGGGGTACCCTGCTAGCCATAGGCTCCAAGAAAAAGAGAGATCGTGTTGCACAGCTACAACTGTTGCTTTCTGATATACATTCTCTAGAATTATCCCACAAAACTACCTCTGACTGCTCTACATATCAAACACTCACCCTCAAACGGGAATAACTTGGGGAGCTGCTGGAATCGGACACTAAACGTGCCTTTGCTGCAATGAATAAGAAATTTTATGTTCAGGGTAACAAGCCAGGTAGACTTGTGGCTCACGCTCTAAGCTCCGCCACCTTCATCCCTAAAATCAAGTCCGCATAGTACTCTATGGCCCACCTTACCGCTGACATAGCCAAAGTATTCCATTACTTTTACCAAGACCTGTACCAGGTCAATCCCCCCTCACAGTCTCACCTACGTCCAGATCTCTCCGATAGAATCACTAACTACTTGCAAATGCTGGTTTACCTACATTGCCAACCGACAAGCTACTTGCTTTAGAATCCCCCATCACCATAGCAGAATTTGAACGAGCTATCCATTCCACCCCTTTAGGCAAAAGCCCTGGTCTAGACGGATACCCCCTTTTGTACTTCAAGCGTTTGCAGACTCAGTTAGCCCCCCATTTTTGTAGCTATGTCAACTCAATTGATGCCACCTCCCCTCTATGACCAGAATCGTTGCTTGCCCACATCACCATCCTTGCCAAACCAGGTAAAGACCCAGCCTGCTGCTCTAGCTACCGCCCCATATCGCTGATGAATGTGGATACCAAGTTGTATGCTAAGATTCTGGCTTCTTGACTTGGCCCACTCTTACCCGAATGGATACATCCGGATCAGGTGGGCTTTGTCCCGGGGAGGGAGGCAAGCGACAGTGCCCTCAAATCTGTATCCCTTATCCACCTAGCCCATACACTGACTTCCCCAGTCCTACTCTTGTCCACAGACGCTGAAAAGGCATTTGACAGAGTAGACTGGGGATTTATGTTCTCCACGCTGACCTCCTTGGGCCTTGGCCCTTGGATGTTGGCGTGGATATCTGCACTGTATTCCTCTCCAACAGCCAGAGTTAAGGTGAACGGCACGCTGTCCCCCACCTTTTCGCTGCACAATGGTACGCGCCAAGGCTGTCCCCTCTCGCCATTATTGTTTGTCCTCTCCCTTGAACCCTTTCTATCAACTATACGTAACAACCCTAACATCCATGGCATATCCTCCCCCACAACAGAGTACAAAATTGCAGCATATGCAGACGACATCCTCTTTTATGTTCGTGATCCTAGGATCTCACTCCCGCATATACTGTCTGAATTGCGTACATATGGGGAACTGTCCAATTTTAAGATCAATGTGGGCAAGTCTGAGATCCTGAACATAACGGTGAGGGGGACGGACTGCCGTAGCTTGCTCCATCATTTTCCCTTTATCTGGAGACGTGACTGCATGCGCTCCCTGGGTATCTACCTTACTCCCAAAAAGTTAGATTTCTACACTCATAATTACATCCCCTTGCTCAACTCGGTAAAGCTTGACCTCAATTCCTACTCTGCACGAACCATGTCCTGGCTAGGCAAGATAAACACCCTTAAAAATGATGATTCTGCCCAAGATTCTATTTTATTTCCAAATGCTTCCTATCTCCCTCCCATCAACGTACTTCGCCACACTACGCTCCCTGCTCTCAAAATTTATCTGGCAACGTAGGAAACCCAGGATCGCCTACTCCATTCTATCTCGACACAACCCAAAATGGGGCTTAAATGTACCTGACCTTAAGCAATACCACAAGGCAGCTCAATTAGTCAGGCTAATAGACTGGACATTTAACGCCTCACAGAAAGGATGGGTGGCATTGGAAGCGGACTTGAGTAACCCCCGACTCTCAGAATGTATCTGGACCCCGCCCCATGTGCTGACCCTGTCTCCTCTGATGTCCCCCCTTACTCTAGCCACCCTTTTAAACTGGGACCGCCTGCATAAAGCCCACAACTGGCTGTACAAAGCTTTTTGACGTGGACAGAATCTGACCGCCTACGCTTAGAACATGTCCTCCAGGGGAATTCACTTCGCTCTCTCCAGGGCCTGAAGGACAAGTGGGGCACCCATCCGATGTACTTCTGGAGACACAAACAACTTCAACATTTTGTAATGTCTCTCCAGAAGCCCCTCCAAACGAGAGCAAACTTCTTGCCCTTTGAGTCACTACTAGGGTCATCGACTCCCACACGTCATGGTCTGTCATCTACAGGATTCTGTCAGGCCTCGCAGGGGATGTGCCCCCACCATATATTGGGAAATGGGAACAAGAACTCCAACAACCCTTATCCCCCTCTCAACGATCCAAGGTACTACACATGTGTTCTTCTGTGTCACCTGATAGCCATATGATGGAAGTAAACTTTAAACTCCTCGCCAGGTGGTATCAGGTCCACACCACTACTCATGCCATCAGCCGGGCAAACTCCACGCTGTGCTGAAGATCATGCGGTGCAAGAGGCACGTATGGTCACCTGTGGTGGGATTGACCACACATACAACGGTTCTGGGGTGATATCACCCGCCTCATCTCCACCATTAGCGGCATACCTACACCCCTAGATCCCTGGCTATACCTCTTCCATCTCAATCCCCTCTCAGCACGCTCATATAAAAAGACGGTAATCCTTTTATGCTTAATGCAGCAAAAGCTCTTATGCCCAAACACTGGCGATCCACCCATATACCTATGGTTGCAGAATGGTTGACACGTGTTGACACTCTGCGATTGATGGAGGAGCTCCAGCACTCTAGTAATGATAACTATAGCACTTTCTACAAAACCTGGGCGAGCTGGCTGCATTTTAAGACTACAAATGACTATCACTATGCTATGACCAGTTGTTGTCTCATACCATAACGTGCCTCCTATAAAATGACGGAAAGAATCCTATGTTGGGTTCTGAGAATGTATTGCCATATACTGTTTTGCCGCGTGAGTGAACATGCAGAGTTCACCCTATTCCACAATACCCCGACCAGGGGACTCCTATGTCCCTCCACTCCTGCTGTTCCCCACCTTCCCCCTCCTTCACCCGGTCTCCCACCCCCCCCACCCCTTGTTTCTTTTATTATTATTTTTCGGTATGCTATGGGAATAGGAACATATAGAAAGGTTTTCTCAAACTTGACTGCAAAAGTGGAAATACACTTTAAGGCACATTACATTTTTCAGGCACATCGTTTATCTGTATCCTGTGTTTCTCTTGTACGACCACTGAATACATACAGATCTGCAAGGGAAATACTTGAAAAAGCCTTACTACTGCCCTATACTGTGTCAAGAAAAACACTAGTCCCTTCCACAGACAGTGGTTTACATGCTGCTGAGATGGACTCTACACAGCAGCTATCCAGATCAACGTTCCCTTGAAAGCCGTATCTGGATCCTACCGGACTGTAGATTGTTGAGAACTGCCTGACATCCTTGAATGTGTCTCTGAAAAATCTTAATGGGTACACCATATGGGCATAGCATCTGGGAGCTCCTTCACCAATTGGTAACTTCTTTGACACACTGATCTTTGTCATACCCAGTTTCTCATGAAGTAAACATGCCCTGGTGATTGTGCCATTTTTGAATCCTCAAATACTTCAGTCATTCTTAAGCCCTGGGAAAGGCTATGAGCCTCCCAAACGCATTGGCTGTTCTGTGTCGTGAACAAATAATTATATGAAAAGCTGTTGGCCTCTCAGGACCTTTGATTGGCGCTCCCAGACTCTGAACCTATGAATCTTCAATTTTGGGCCCCTGATTTAGGGACACCCTGTTTTTGTTGACAGCAGCCTTACTAGATAATTTTATTCCAGCACCTCCTTTCTCACTAAGGAACACACTACTTGGGAGTCTCCCATAGCTCCATCAGACATAGCCCCCTCCTCTACTTATCCAGGAAGGAGTTCTCCTCAGCTAGATTTTATGGGCCAATTTACAACTATGATTGCTTACTCTGAACGCAGAGACTGTAAGCACAGTTCTAAGCCTTCCCCTCCAGAATCTTTTTCAGACATTCCTGCACCTGTAGCAGCCTCTGAGCCTACTGCTTTGGAACAATCTCACAAATCCTTGATGGAAGAATTTGTCCTATCAAGGATATTTCTCTTCCTACTCTCACCCACAAGGTTGCTTTACTTGTTGCCATCACCTCTGCAAGACATGTCTCTGACCTGGCAGCCTTGTCCTGTAAAGAACCCTTTCTAGCCTTAGACAAAGTGGTCCTGAGACCTAGATCCTTCTTACTTCCCAAGGTGGTTTCAGTGGTTCTTGGGCTTTTAGACATCAGACACCTGCTTCCCAAATCTGCAAGCCTGCCACCAGGTCTTATCAGTTTTATCAGGGAGATGTTCAAGCCTCATATGTGTGCTGGTTAGCAATCTATTTGCAGTGTTGCCCATCCCTCAGTTGGACTGCTTTTGGACATCCAAATCGTATCAGAATAATGGAATTTTGTGTACCTTTTTCAAAAGAAGGGAAGCAGGATTTTTGCACTTGTCATAAAATCCAGCTCCTGGAGTTCTTTAGGGGACACCAGTCCCCACCGCTCTGTGTTGTGATATATTCCTATGTACTGATTTTCTACAAAACTGAAGCATGTTGGTAGTGGAAGGGGATATACCTGGCTAGCCAACAGCTTTTGTTTGACAATGTCCAAATCCTCCTTTAGAAGGCACTATAACCCAATGGTATCATAACCAAATACTGCATCCCTTAATGAAACCTTATGAAATGGATTTCATGGTGCAAAAATCCTGTTCTATTTAAAATATGTATATATGTACTGGAGCCACTGCATGCAGCTAGCATTTAAACACATAGTCAGCAAAGACTAGGTAACTATGTAATTACGGGTATTCTTTAAAGCTGAACTCTGTGCAAACAACTGAATACACATAAAATATAGTACATATAACAGACCTGTCCTACCTGCCAAATGATTTGTGTTTCTGTCCATCCAGCCTTACCACAGAGCCAGCCTGGTTACCCGATTTTACTCTTCTGTATTAAAACAATGAACTTCTCTTTTTTGCTCCTTTTTGGTATGCTTAATATATCATTGGAAAAAATGTATATCCGTTTGCTGGGAGCAACAAAAAAATATATTGACCATGTAAGAAATGCAGAGCTGCCCTGTATCCTGTGTTCACTTCCTCTATTATCCCAAAGAATCTGTTAAGCCCTTTTAGTTCTGATCTTGGACTACAGAATAATTAGCCTTTATGTTATGAGATCTCAGATCCCACTCTGAGATCTCTTTATGTTATGAGATCTCAAAGTGGGAGTGCCATAGAATTTGATCATAGACAAAAGCAGGGCAGGGCTGATAACACTCAGTCCACAAAAATGCTGTCGACAGCCCACAACAGGGTTAAGAGCTGATTGCATTTCAGGAAAATTAACGGGTCATTTTTGTACTAGCAGGTTCTTAAATGGAATAAGACATGAAGAAATGTAAATGTATTGCGGACATGTACTGCATTTTGTTTTTTCACACTTTACATACACTTTTGACAATAAAGTTAGGTCACATCTCCACCACCAGCCTTGACAGTAAAGAAGCAGCAGAGAAGCAGACTGAAGGGGTTAACATCAGCACATTCCTGAATGCAGGTTCACATGATTGGTCCCAGGTAATATCCTTTCTTCTCCCAGTCCAACTCCTGCTATTACGGGGGACTACAATAGGCTGGAATCAAGCGAAATTCAGGTATTTATTCTAGTTGCATTTGAAATCAAAAAATGTTTTCAATAAATACACATCCGTATTTGTGCATTTTGTTTTATATCTGCCAGGAAATTCGTTCTAACATGCACCATATTACATTTCATGACATGACAAGGCATTTTAAAACTATAATCAGGTGTACTTACCCAGGCGAGCACTGGAGGGGAGAGAATTGGAACCATGGGACACTCTGGGACGGGATGTGTCGCAGTATTCACTGGGATGTTTGTGGCTCAGGTCTAAGCTTAAGCGACCATGGTGCTGTGCACTGCAAGACATGAGAATATGGTCACAAACTAGTCCTAAATACTGCCATATGCATAAACTCACATTATACCTTTTAAATAGGGCATCAAATAAATGGCTATTGGTTTATTTTGTCAAGTTGGTTTTAACTATAAAAACTGCTGATAAATTGCTATGTTCCATAGTAACAGAAGTTATGCTAAAAGAAATATACCGGTTCCATTGAATTTGGAAATGCTAGTTGCCTAGCTGCCATGATGTTACTCCTATCTCAAAGTTTTTAAATGCTTGACAAAGAAGCAGTATACAGCCTCAGAAGTCAGATTTCCACAAATGACTGAAAATCATAGCCATTTGATCAGCATGACAGCCAGACAAATAGCATTTTAAAAAGAAAAGTCAGTAAGCCTGTGCAGCTTCTTCCAGCACAGGTAAATTGTACCACTGGCTACACACATGGCCACAAATAGAAATGTGAAAATACAGCTGGATTTAGTTTCAGTTCCTTAGTTACACCCATGGAGCACAATAAATCTCCTCAGCCAACAGTTTTTTTTCTGGTTGTAGGGCTCAGTCAAGCTTCCACTCCACATGCTACAGGGTAGCTGTCCGAGCAGCCTATTTTCAGGCTTCACCATTGGCACATGGAAGGTGTGCCTAACATTACACAAATAACCAACTCAAAGTCAATATTTGCACAGGCAACGTATACGGTTCCATGTACACAGAAAAAGGAACAGATATTAAAACTAGCAAAAAAAAACTCGCCAATTCAAGACATGAGCTGTGGTTCAGTACACCGTGCTTTACACTGTTAGTGTGCTCACGGAGCACACATTCATAACACTGCTGAATGTGATTCCACAGCTTTCCCGGCTTCTTTGGGGGGCAGCATCCTGCAGTGTGCTTTTAAGGATTTCCCATTGAGGAGGGATTGTCTTTTTGCGGCGCTTCACTGCTTTGACTCTATAACACTGTATACATGCCATCTTGCAGCCTTCTGACTGATAAGCCTGTTTCAAAAAAAAAATGTTTGAGTGTTTTTAACCCATTAATAAAGACGTACATAGTTCCGGCCAGTACACTCTGGTGTCTGTTCATGTTTCACATGGACTGCATGTCTAGTCTCATACAAATACCTGACTCAGAGAGTCATTATTTGTATAGGCAACTCATGGGGCTCCATGTGCATTAGAAAGAGGCAAAGGAGTATAAACTAGCAGTATATTCTAGCCCAGGGGTAGGCTATCCAGCTGTGGTGAAACTACAAAGCTCATCATGCTTCTGGAGCCTGTGGCTGTCTTGCAATGCCTCATGGAATTTGTAGTTCCACCACAGCTGGAGTGTAAAGCTTGCCTATCCCTGCTCCAGCTCCACTGGGTTCCCGATTCTTTTGTCACACAATTTTTATTGTTTTCAAATAAACATACTATCAGAGTGCAACATTACAGTGCTGACGCAGCAGCCAGGCAAATTAGTTGAAAGTGAGTTATAGTAAAATACATAACAAACAAACTGGATGGTTCAATGTAATAAACCCAGTTTACGAAGGATCATCTATTGGAAACCATCTGTTTAATTCCGTGTGCACTAAGGATTGTAAGCCCGTCCTGGAACAAACTGCGGTCTAACTAGTGGGAGGCTAATCCCATTAAGCAGAGACTATATAAAAGGACAGCAGGGTGAGAGAGGGGGAAGGGTGACACACAAGAGGGTAATTGGGGTATGAGAGGACCAGTTCAACATTAGAATTAGGGTAAGAGGGTAAAGTGCAGGGTGTACATAGACGCCTCTCAAATTTGCCATAAGAGTCTGACAAGATTGCCGTTAACTGTTCGTTAATCATCGCATTAGTGATACGGTTTTTAACTTCCAGGTAGCTGAGCACAGGGGATTTCCAGGAACTGGCAATAGTTTGTTTAGTAGACATGAATATGTGGGAAACCAAACACTGCTGACATTTAAATATTCCTGTTATAGGCTTATGTAGAAGTGCTTCCCACAGGGTTTTAACGTAAATCTGTCTTGATGAAATCTGTGTTCTAAGGGAGCAATAGAGTAAGGCGGGGTAGCTGAGTGACACAATGATTGTATATAGTTGCGTAGTTGGAGATACCTAAATAGTTCAGTTTGTGGAATTTGAGATGATGCCTTGAGTTGTGTAAAGGAACTAATCCCTTGGGGCGTAAGCATGGAGTGTATGTCTTGAAAGCCAGCAGCCGTCCACCAGGAAAACATATTGGGACTAAGGATAGAATAATGGGCATTGGATAAGCGATAGAAGAGGGAGATGTGGTGAAACCAGGTGGCCAGTATTTTTCACCGAGTCCCATATCCGTAGAGTGTGTTGCATATTTGGTCCTAAATGAGGGGGTGATGCGAAGGCAGAAGCCATGGTAAGTTTGACACTAGAATGGGGTGGGTGCCCAACACATCTAGGGAAACCCATAGAGGTGTATCAGACTTAGAGGACAGGAGAGCGAGGGGGGCTATTTATGCAGCCTTGTAATAATTCTCGAAATTGGGTACCACCAGTCCCCCGTTTAACCTGGGTCTAAAGAGAACTTGACGGTTGACTGGTGGATGAGCTCCTCCCCATATAAAGTGCAGCGCTTCCCGTTGTAAGGTAAGTAGGACATAGGCTGGCACAGAGATCGGTAAAACTCTAAACATGTACAAGAGCTTGGGTAGAATGGACATTTTAAAGGCATGGATGTGTCCTAGCCAAGATATTCGAAAGTCTTTCCAGGAGATAAGAAGGTTTTTGAGTTGGCGTATTAATTCTGGGTAGTTTACTTGATAAAGCGTAGAGTACGAAGGGGTCCACGTTATGCCCAAGTATGAAAGAGAGGAGGTCCATGGGAAAGAGTATTGTTGTACTCGCAATTTTGTAATCTCGGGTAAGGAAAACGTTCATTGCTTGGGATTTGGAAGGGTTAACGCGCAGGCCTGAGAAGGTAGCAAATTTATCTAATCTATTTTATCTAATCAGGTTATCAGGTTCAGCGAGAAAGTTTGTGGGGAGCTCAAGGTCAGTAATATATAGTCCGGGAATAGCGAGAGCTTGTGGGAGTAACCCACTAGTGGTAGACCCTCTATACTCTGATGTGCCCGAATAGCGATCGCTAAGTGTTCTAGTGAAAAAATGAATAGAATTGGAGAAAGGGGGCACCGCTGCCATGTGCCCCGCTGAATCTGAAAGGGAGTGGAACTAAATCCTTGATACTTTAGAATAGCAGTTGGACACGAGTAGGCTGCTCATATCCAAGTCATGAAGCCTGCTCCAAAACCCCATTTCTCCAACGTTGATATCAAATACGGCCAGGAGATGGAATCAAAGGTTTTGTTCATGTCTAAAGAGAGTAGGAACTTTTTTAAATTTGTGTTGATGAGCAAGGTGACATAAGGAGACAATTTTGCGACTATCAGCAGCCTGTCTATGAGGTACAAATCCTACTTGTTCTCCATGAATGAGAAGACTCAAGAAATCGTCAACTCGGGAGGTTAAAAGTTTAGTCAGAAGTTTAATTTCGACGTTTACCAAAGAGATGGGGCGGAAACTGGACCAGACACTTGGATCCTTAGTAGGCTTAGGGAGCATGACCATGTTTGGCAGTAAGCATATCACGATCCATCGTGTCGCAAGCTTTAATGGTATTGAATACTTTAGTGAGGTGGGGGACTATCAGGTCTGTAAATTTTATATAAAATGGGAATGCCCTTTTGTCAGGTTTAAGGCTTTGGATTGAATGGAGGACCTCCTTCTCAGTGATGTAAGCTTCTAAGGCCAGAGAATAGGAATGGGGTAGAAGGGGAAGAGTTGTGTTCTCTAAGAATGCAGTAATTTGGGAAGGGGGGGTAGGTTTCAAATACAGTTTAGAGAGATGACAACTAAACTCTTCCAGAACTTTTATAGGATTGCTTGCGACGGTGTTCGTTCTAGTCCTCAGAGTGAAAAAGTGGGGTCTCAGATCTAGGATCCTTAATTTCCTGGCCAACATAGTGACGGGTTTGTTCGCTTTTGCATCAAAGGCTTGGTTGGACCATCGCATCGGCATTTGAAATCTGCATTTAGACAAAGGTTAAGGTCGTTGCAGGCGTCGCCAGGTTTGTTGATGTAGGGGAACATTTGAAATGTGTAGAGGCCAATTTCAGATCTGATTCCAGTTGCGTTAGACGTTGGGTTCTCTCTTTCTTGTGTCAGGATGCTACGCAAATTAAATGGCCCCATGGTCAGCCACTCTTTAGGCTGCCCATAACGTGACCATAGAGACCACTGAGCCAGAGTTAAGGCGAAAATGTATTCCAGTGTAGATGCCTGAAGTTCAGCTAAGAGTGCTGGATTAGACAAAAGCGATTAATTGAGCATCCATGGTTTAGGAGTGAGGTTGAAGAGAGCGGAGGAAGAGCACAGTCGGGTCATGGTCAGTCCAGGGGGGAAGAGGTAATGACTGCTTTTTCCACTAAGGAAAGAGAGGTGCCTGAAATGAACATGTCTACGGGTTCCTAAGTGCAGATGTTGTTTTGTGACCCTGTGTTCAGCCACATATTCAGTTTAGGTTTGTCACACACATAATCATGCACAACCACCGAGAGCATTTCCCTTCTAACACCAGTAAAGAAAACAACTGTATTTAGAGGTAGAGAAACTGACATGATACCTTTGATGTAGGTGCTGTGAGCAGACTTGGCCTGTGGAGGAAGGACAGTTATTAGATGGTACACGATGACTCCAGGCTGTGTAGATTGGGTTTCTACAAACTGCTGTAACTGCAGGACATGGAGCCAGACTCCGGGGAACAGTACCTGAAATGAATCACATATCTCAAATCTTGGGCACTGAACAGTGAACTACAGTTATATCTCAATAAAAGATCTATTTTACAAAGGAAATCAAACTCACCTGACATACCAGATCCATACAAGGAAGTTGTAAAGATTTCACTATGGCGGGGGGACCGAGTGGGAGAGAACCGCACCCACTCATGAGCTATATCAGGAGACAGACGACCCTCTGAATTGGGGGAAAACTTCTGGGTCTGCCAAAAAAAAAGGAAAATAAAAATGCAAATCCTAAAAAAAAAAAAAAAGAAGAAGACAACCAGCCAGCCACCATTAATGAAGACATACACCTGAATGGTTGTGGTGATACCAGACCAAAATGTATAAAGCTCCCCATATAAGTTACAATCTGACCATACGATCTTTGTACATTCAATTTTTAGTTTTGCCAAAATTGTCTGATTTGAGGATCTACCTAAACTATCCAATCACTCTGTATCCAATCAGGCAAGGCCTTGCACCTCATATATGTTTACAGATTGTAATGTGTATGGTGAGCTTAAGGGCTGCATTTAGTTTGCAATTTTACACAAATCTTTAGTTACCAGATTTTCGACTTGTCATATCAGAATGCAGTCTCACATTTAAAGTAAAGTAATGTTTTTCTGTAGATAAGAAGCAAGCTAAATAATACGTGAAACATACCCAGGGAGGGTTATGTATATACTGATTATATTGCAGCAAATTATCATGCTCAAATTTAACATAAATAGTTTTATTTAGGGACCTTTCTTTGTCCATCTAGGTCAGGGTTTACATTGCATAGATGTTCTTTATTTTCTGCTGTTGTAACGCAACCACAACAATACCCATGCAGTCTCAGGTTTTTTGATTTATAGACAGGGACCGTGGGATTCAACCACAGAGGTAAAAACTAAGTTGAGGCAATATAATTATTTCAATCCTATTGTTGAGATATTTCAAAACTGTTGCTGTACTGAAGCCCAACTCAAGAAAAACCCCTTTTTTTTTTAAATTTGCGACGGAGCAGTGAAGACTTGTAGCCTCTGTAAGGTTTCTATTGCAGTCAGTTTCCCTATTGGATAGATTTCCAGTCACCTCCTGTCAGGACAGGATGCGATTGTCTGTGTCCCATTTGAAGATGTTTTCACATATTTAGTAGAGTGAGGAAGGGTTATTTGTGATGTGAATGTATTTGCCTTCCTGTTCCAATGATGCCCATAAACCTAATTTCTTGTACGCTCATCAGAGACACTAAATTAGAGAAAATTTCTACAATGAAGTTACAGATAGAAATAAAAACTGAAATGGTTAACTCTACTCTATCCAAAACTAAAAAAATGCCTTGAGATAGGTCTTAATACAGGGTTGCTTTTTGCCATTTTCACAAGAACTCAACCATAGTTAGAATGCTAGCTGGGGATTTGTGGCAGTGCTGACCAACTTAGTCATATAAAATTGGCAGAGTACAGCAGTCTCCACTGGCACACTGAAACACAGAAATTGGTAAACCTACATGCTGCCTATGTGAAAACGGCAGAACAGTTTGCAGCTACAAATACACAAATTAGAAGATAATAAATCACCTGCAATGCATAATGAGGAATGGATACAGGAGTTAGGCGATGCTTTAGTGCTGGAGCAGACAGTGGTCTTGGCCTTTTCACTTCTGGTTCCTCCGCTCTTTGTAAACAACTTTCCACCTCTCCACCACCTCGACATCCAGGCAAGGCACAATCTGTCCCTTCGTCTCTGCAGCATTTCCCAATACCCCTACTATGCATTTTGTATGATCCTTCCTGGCCAGAAGGGATAGAAGCAGGAGATGGGCTAGTAGGTGGTGAGCCAGCAGTTACTGTGGAATCTGAAGCGGAGCTGGACTGATGTCTATGTTTAAACTTAATAGAGTCACTTCGTTTTGGAGGCGTTGGGGGGGTTAGTGGCCTTTCCACCTTTGAAGGCTGGGGAGAGTGTGCAATGATTGGTCCAGGAGGCATATAGGCATGTTTTGGAGGAGTCTGAGGCCTCTTAAAAGTGTCTGGGTCAAAGATGGATTTTCTATGCCTGGGCCTCTTGAAGACTGTGAACTCACTCTGGGAGTGTCCTGGGCTAACCATAACTTTAGGCCATGTACCACTACTCCTCTTGCCCGTAGGTGCATCAACTATAACATCTGTTATAGCATCTGAGTATCCAAGCGGTCGTCCTTCCTCCTCTAACTCATAACCACGTCCAATAAAAACCTCTCCTCCAAGTGATCCCAAACTATGCTCCGAGTGACTGTGACAGCTCAACTGCAGGGCTCTGTCTGACCCACTGCGATCTCCTATCTCCTTTTTATGATCAATCATATCTGGGTGGAAGATATCCGTTTGTGTCGAGCTGTTGTTCTTCAGGTTCCTCTTATGAGTGTGAATATTTGATGGGAGAACACGACAGGACTCCTTAAGGTTTTCAAATAGGTTTTGTCCACTCCATGATGTATTTGGTGGAAATATCTGAAATTTAGAAAAAACAACAAAAAAATACAAAAACACAATTTTATGTTAAGTATGAAGAAATGCACTCCTTTAACTTTGGGGACATTAGATAAATTAACTAGGAGAAATTTTGATTTTTTTTTTTTTTGGTTAGCAAAGTGAGCAATTTCAATGTCTTACAACTTACATTTTACACTATAATTATATGCTGATACATAATAGGATATCTAGTCACCGCAATATTCCTGTCTCTTTGTGGTCACACTAAGATTTCTGGGGACATATGCTCTTCTTAGGAAGGTGGTCAGGTCACTAATAAAAGAAAAAGCCACCCCACACATATGGGCATTAGATCTTTCACCAGGTACCGGCTTTCGAGTCTGTAGTGAATTCAATCCACAGGGCCACATACTTTTTTTTTAGTTAGTTATTTTTCCTTTCTCAATTCCCGGGACCCCAAAGAAGGATCCTATAGAAACACTACTCAATATGCTGACTACTATTTCTCTGCTCCTTCTTTAAAAATAAAAAAATAAAAAGCTTTTTACAGGAGGAGGAGCTTCTAGCTGCCCATCCATGTTAACATAAAGGTTGTAGTCTATTTCTTGACCCCTTGCGGAGCATTACATTAGACCACCAGATATGGAGATTGGCTGACAATATACTCCTGCAAGCCCCAATCGGAACCAAACTTCCTGGGTGAACTCTAATTTCTACTTATATTTGCAGATGTTGCATTATCAATCAATCTTTAAGTGCATATATTAGAAACTGGTTGGGATCTCCTGTATTTCACAAATTTGTTCTGTGCATCACATTGTGAATCTGTACTTAAAGTGTATGTCCAGGCATTACCAAATTTTACCCCAAACCTCCCTTTCTACAGTATGTCCCAGCATTATTTTTTTTTATTTTTTTACCTGTAATGAGAAGCCGCTTTGTTGCTTCCTGTACCATCAACACCAAGCTTGTAAAAATGTTGTGTGTACAGCTGTGGGGAGCTCAGTTTTGAGGCAAGCTCACAGATCTACATCTCCTGAAAGCCATTCTGTACATACAGTGTGTGGGCAGGCTCTTAGGAGTCAGGGCACCACTGGGAAATAAATCACTGTATGCAGGCAGAGTGGGATAGAGAGTTGCAGAGATAGGGGGAGTTCTGTAGCCCACCAGGCACAACTGACAAAGCTGGTTGGGATTTCAGTACAGAAAAGGCAATATGTGATCAGGAAGTTAGGAGCACACTTGACTTCTGGCAGATAAACAGGTATTTTTCTGTAGCATTTTAAAAAATGGATAAAAATACAGGGAAAAGTGCAGGTAATACAGAGATGCACTGAAAAGTTTTTTTCATATTGCTCAGACATACACTTTAACCCCTTCGTGACTGACGACGTACAGTGTACGTCGCCAGCATCGGGGCTGTTTAAACAAATAAATCTACATCTTGGTGTAACTGTGTACTTAAAAGAAACAACCCCCATGGCTTTATGCATTGTGTGTAATAATTGGTTCATTGTCCAACAAAATGCATCTCATGCTACGGACCCAAAGACTTTAAATACTTAGAATTGACAGTACATCCACAAACAAACACCGATAAACAGCCATCTACTTCATTTATATAAAACTGGATAATATATTTTGCTTTGAGACTCTACGGTATTAATTAAAGTTTTTAAATACCTTTAAAAGAGAAAGGCTAAGTGAATCCCGACAGCTTCTCAGAAGAGCCTCACATTCAGTGATGGACTTGTTGTCTACAGCTATACCATTAATCTGCATTGTACAGAAAAGGTTTTAGCATTCAGTAAACTGCAGGCATTCCATTAATCCGTAACAAGTGAAGGCTTACTAAATAAAGAAGAGCAAATGACAGTGAGAATGTGCAAAATACAATAATCCACAGCGACCAATCAGATTTCAGCATGCTGTAGTAAAGTCTGTAAAGATATGATTTCAGATTGGCTGATATGGGTTAATGCATTACGAAACATCACTGTGGTTTGCAATGCTTTACTACTGAATCACATTATCTAATGCATCACACTGATTTACCAAAGAATTGAACTGTCATCATATTGTTTGCAATTCAGAATGTATTTATTTATTTTCTCAAAGTAAGGCATGAGACAAACAGGAGTAAACTTACAGCCACCACTCTGTCACCAGGCATAAGGGTTCCTTCCTTGGCAGCAGGACTCCCAGGCATCACAGATGCCACCAGCACACCAGTCTCTAAAGAGATACCACTGTCTGTGGCATGCAAAAAAAAAACAATTGAAAACATCAGAATACCCAAAGCTAAACACCTATTACACAGCCTCAGGGACAGTGTCGATGGGCTTGTGTTCGCTTCAGAACTGCTTCTCTCCTAACATCTATGGGAATGGAAAAGCAGCTGAAAGTGGTCAAATGCAGGCTAACTGCACCAACAATGCATTTTGAATGGCCTCAGAAGAGTCTCAAACAAATGTCAAACGCACACTGTATTTGCCCGGCGACACCGAGCCTTAAAAGGAGAACTATGGGGGTCGGGGCTTTTCTCCATAGTTCTCCTAAGGGTAACGGGAGGACACAAACTAGCGTCCTCCCATCACCCTAAGCTCAGTATACCGCAAGCTACAGCTCGCGGTATACTGAGACGCCGCAGCCGGGACAGATCCCGACAATGCTGTCTGGATCCACCCAGCTGCGCTCACTCCCCCGTCCGTTCCGCCAGTCAGCGCTGGAGGATCGGACAGTGGAGGAGGGGAATCACTGCAGGGAGCCGTGAGTGAAAGTCACGGCTCTCTGCAGGGATAGATCGAGAAGTGAGCGAGCGACGGTATGCGTTCACTCACTTCCCGATCTATTGAGCTGACCTGTGACAGTTTCATTGTCACAGGTCGGCTAGAACTATGAGGCTGAGTGATTTTCACTCGCCTCATAGTTCTCCTTTAAGCTACTTTTCTAAATATTTGAACAATTCTTAAAAAACACCATTTAAAACTTTATATATATATATTTGTAACTGAAAACTCTTTTTACTTATTGTACATAAATGAAAAAACTTCACCTTTCTGGCCACCCAGACTGATATGAAGAGGAGTGACAATTCGATTCCCCAGAGATTTTCTTCTACGAATTACCATGTTGATAACATCTCCTCCACTTAATACAGCTTTAATTAGCTGCTTACGATCCTTGTTAGTGAGATCCACATCATTTATCTTCAAGAGGCAATCATTCACTCTGCAATTTAAATCGTCATGTATATTACCTAACATTTGTTTGTTGGACAAACAAAATACTTATAAACATAACATATGAAATCAATGCAATACTGAATAGGAAATTTTCATGGTGCCAAGAAATTATGAAATCCAACATTTGAACAATTACACTAAAAACTTTGGAAGCTAACAAAAAAAGAAAAAGAAAAAAAGAAAAAAAAAAAAAAACACAAACCCCAGCAAATCAAGAGTAGGAAGATTATTTCTGACAAGAAGGAAGCAGAAAGCATTTAAAGAAGGAAAGGGAGAGAGGCTAGGGAGCAAGGAGAGAGACATGGAGACATTGTATAAACACTAGCAATGTGCAAAACGTCTCTGACTGTTAAAGATTATCAAAATTCTCCTTTTTTGGAATATTCCAAAATAAATCAAATACCCTCAGGAAATATTTTACTCTACAAGGTATTTACCTTAAACGGCCATCTGCAATGCTGCCCTTGTCAACCTTTGTCACAAAAATGCCACTGTCCCCTGGAAAGGGCGGCTCATTCACCCCATCTGCCACATCAAACCCCAGAGCCTTAAGGTCCATATCCTCCTGTGAAGAAAACAGTGTGAGTAAACATTCCATTTACAATGTTTAATACAGATGTCACCTTTCCTGTTCAGAGTTGAACTAATTTTAACCACTTCCCAGCCGGCCGTTGTAAAAAAACGGCCGGCCAGGAGCTATCTAGATGTGAGCGGGCGTCTTTAGACGTCCGCTCAGCCACGCCCCCAGTGGCGCGCGCAAGCGGGAAATGCCAGCTATTTCAAAACGGGCAGCGATGCCCGTTAATATACAGCAAGGTGGCATTAGGGGTCTTGGAGACCCCTGATGTCTCCATAAAGAGAACCTGTCACATATTTTGCTATCACATAAGGGGTTTTTCTAACCCCCCTATGTGATAGCAATAAAGTTAAGTGAAAAAAAAAATGTAAGCTCCCCCCCAAAATAAATGAAAAGTTACAAATGCGCATACGTGCGAAAACGACAATTTCGCCCATTACACCGCACATGTTACATATCGTCGCGAACGTCGGAATGAGAGCAATAATTCTAGGGCTATCAATCACTGATAACACTAAACTGATGAGCTGTAAAAGTTTTTAAAGCGTCGCCTATGGTCAATTTTTGGTATGGTAGTTTTTTGCGATTTCGCGGGTGCGCGCAATTTTAAAGCATGACATGTTTGGTGTCTATTTACCCGACGTGACCCCGTATTTTATATTTTACCAAAAATGTGGGTAATAATCGTTTCCTAACATAATGAAAAAAAAACTTTTTTTTCCCAAAAAATATAGTAAAAAAAAAAACCCCCAGTGGTGATTAAATACCACCAAAAGAAAGCTCCATCTGTCCCCAAAAAATGGTATAAAATTAAATTTCAGTACAGCGTTGCATGACGGAATAAATGTCAGTCAAAGTACCGCAGCGCTGTACACTGAAAAATGGCCTGGCCAGGAAGGGGGTCTAAACACCTGGTTTTGGAGTGGTTAAAGAGAATGTACAAAGTATTTTCAGTGAGCATATATTTTGAGTTAATATTGCCATATTTATGTTATGTAGGCTCATTTATATATTAGCACAGTTACTAAAACTATACATTCTGAGTTACATGCATGCCTCTTAATGTTGCCACAGAGACGCTGGTCTTGTTTAGTTGCTTTCTACTTACCCTATCTCGCTCAAACTCTACCACTTCAGTCTCCCACTCCAGTGAGTCTGTGTCAATCGCAGAATCGTGAGAACTATGAGCCATAAGCTGACGGAACCTGGCTTCTTTCTCAATGTGATTATCCATCTTTTCCCTTAAAGTAATAAAAGCACATGATTAAAGAGGAATGCAGCAACAAAATCATATAGTGTCTGTACATGTGCCTCAAGCTGTCCAGAAATAAATGGGGCTTGGAAAAAACACACAGGATACAGCTAGGTTTTATTTTTCTTAACTCTGGTAAGAATTCTTTATGTCATCGATATTTCTTTTATTCTTGGTATATAATAAGATCATTAGTCCCTTTAAATGGCCGCCTGAGCCCCAGTGCATTATGCCCTACTCAAAGCAGTTAGAATATGCCTCACCTGCTGCTTCTAAGGTTAAATGATGCCAAAGACCAGTGGTCCTATACTGTGTTCATGAAAGCTTGGCAGTTTTTTTCAAAAGCAATGCAAACAATCTTTTAATCTGTTTATCCAGAAGGTGGAGAATGTTTGGCAAATGGAAAAGTAAGTAACCTGTGTAGAGGATTGAAGCTATGACACAATTACTTGATAGCTACCGCAGGCTGAGACTCAATCTGATATACTACACTAATTGAGAGACTTTCTTTTCAGCATATACACTGAAGGAGCACATTCATTAATTCCTTTGAACTGGGGAATGGGAGAATGTTTTTAAAAGCATATTACGTGAAAAGTTTTGCTGGGCAATTTATTTACGGTTTTGATTTTTATTGCCACAATTCTCAGTAAATTAAGATAAGATTTTTCCTGATGTAAACTGATGGTCATCAGTTTACATCCGCACTGCCATAGAGATGCATTGTTGTCCGTTTTTCCATCGTCAACCGGGGGGTTGGAAACCTGACAACCTGAACAATTGTGTGAAAGGGACCTTAGTAGAAGGCAAAGCCTGCTATTTTTTACAAGCAAATATGTCTACCCGCATGTACAGAAAAGGTTATAAACTATTGGGACAAATAAGGTTTTTAAACATTAAAGATGGAGATGCGTTTAATACATCCAGCCGAAATATTAGATGTAGGAATGTTACACACTATGGAAAATCTCTAACTTTCTCATGAATTTAACAATGACACCAATATACATTACACGTCAGTATATAGCAGATTTATATAAAATATAAGGCCTCACTCATACTGGGCGAATTGGGGTTCCTGCAGCAGGAATCCCAGATGTCCCATTTAGATGTGGCCGCTGTACCCATTCATGTTAATGAATCTGATACGACTACATGCAGTTTGAAATAGAGCAATGTCGCTGGACACCAGATAAATGTTTGCATGTAGTAGTTTCACATATAAATTATATGAGGACTGCCGCTTACAGATACAACTTCTGTCACCCGGTCATGACCTTGAATGGGTACAGCGGCCGCATCTGAACGGTACATCTGGAATTTCTGCTGCAGGAATCCAGAAGTTCCTTTCGCAGGAACCTTCAATTGCCCAGTGTGAATGAGGCTTAAATGTACAATATAAAATTGAAGCACTATTAGAAGTGCAGGACCCATCAACTCTCACAGGATATCTTATACCGATATAAAAGCGAATCAATCATTTAAACAGATTCTATTTAGCTTTGGTTCATTCACCCAAGAACAAAGCCCTAATCAATAACATAGTGCAAAACTGCTGTACACCCCAGCACCTAGATTTCTTCTCCCATTTTACTACAGCAACTTGGAGACTCGAGAAAATGATGTGGAAAAAACCCCAAAAAAACTAAGAACTTTGCATACATTCACTTCCCCCCTTCACTACCTTATTAAAAAAAGTATATTTTAGAAGTCACACAAATTCTACAGACTTTAAAAGCAATCTACAAGTCATGTAAACGATTTGTAAAAAAAAAAAAAATTAATGAATACTGTACTAACTTCAGCTCCTTCAGTTCTCTTGCAGCATCATTCTTCTGTTTGCGCATGTCGTCTAGGTTTCTCAATGCTTCTGCTAGCTCGCTGACTGCACGATCTCGTTCTCTACGTAGGTTATCACACAACGTACTGTAGAAAGATGGGCAGCATATCAAAGAATGGAGTAGATGTACAGCAACATATATAATATTCAGCAAATATCACCCACCATCATAACAGTGTTACTTTTTTTATAATCTGCTTCCATTAACCTGTATGTAACAAAGGTGGCCATGTAAAAGTCTAGACATCCTGATTAGGAGTTGGGAATCACTCATTTATAGAATTACCTACTCTAATGTAACCCACATTTACATGTCATTTCTGGATATTCAAAGCTTGGTACAGAAGGATATGTGCAATGGCTATGTGCAAGGTGCAGTATCTCAAAGCAACACACTTCCCACTCAAATGGAGGAAAGCGGCCATTCATTTGCTCTCATTTTTAAAGATTACAGCTCATCATGAACAACAAGTGCATTTTGCTGTATTTGATTTCATGAATTTGACAGTGGTCTGCTAAAAGGCAATAACCCTATCTGCCTATATTTAAACCAAAGTGAAACGGCAGTACTAAATCACTCAGCGCAGACTTGTAGTATTCTATGCAGTAACACAGAATGTCTCCTCTTTGCTATCTGATTGGCACTGCTTCTAGCAAGACTCCAAGGATGAAATAACCTGTGATGAGGTTTTAAAGTGACCACTCACATTCTCAGTCAACAATATGAAAATCAGTCACCCAAAGTCAACTAATGGGTAAAGAAACAAATAAATAATGTATTGATTTGCAGTAGCAATCTGTGCCCATTTCTTAGATGGGTAATTCTGAATGGTAAAATTTACTTAAAGTGTGTTTAGAGTCATAGAGCTGTACGCTATGGTGCCAAATGAACTTCACAAACATGGAGGATGTTTGTTCATGCGTAAAAACTTTTACAAAATGGCCATGTGGACTGAAATATATAAGCTCCAATAATATGGTGATGTTATTCCATAGTTAATTAAACTCATGAGTTAAATCTGAAAAATGCGGGGGCGTGGCCAAGCGGCGTGCATGGACGGACGCTGATCACAGCAGCTACGGTCCCACTCTCATCCTTACCCTATCCTGACGGTTCCCGCGACTCGGTCGTCAACCGGGCTCCTTCCGCTCTCCCTCAGGATCCTCCTGGCAGCTACAATGGGGAAAAATCGGGGACCAGAGGGACGTCTCCGCGGCCGAAAAATTGGCCCGGTTCCAGCGGCAAGATGGCGCCGGACATGCGGCCCTCCGCACCTCCTCGAGCTCCACGATGAGGACGGGGACTCCTCAATCCTCAAGTAAGGGGGCTTCACAGGGGAAATCTGCTCCACTGACCCAGCTGGGCATGAAGGGGAAGGCAGCACAATCCCCCCAGGCTGAACACACAAAAGACCAACCTGTACAACGTGCATGCAGGGCCTCTGAGGAGAGGGGGATGGGGGAGACGTTCCCTGCAGACACACAGGCCCCTGCTGAGCCCACCCTCCTACAATTAATGGAGGCTATTCGGGACTGCAAAACCTCCCTGGCATCACAGATTGAGGGGGTACATATAGACCTCTCTCTGCTGAAGCATGATGTTCAGGGTCTGCGTGACAGGGTCACCGAAACTGAGGGCCGCATTACTATCCTGGAAGATGCGATGACCCCGTTGTCCAGGGATACTGCTGGATTACAGAGGGAGCTAGCGGCCTGCAGAGCTAAAATGGATGACCTGGAGAATCGCTCCAGGCGGAATAACCTCCGCTTTGTTGGATTTCCTGAGCGGTCAGAGGGCCAAAATCCTGAGCAATTTATTCAAGATTGGCTTAGAGAGATGTTTGGAGATTTCACCCCCTCTTCTCCTTCCTTTGTGGAGCGGGCGCATCGCACACCACCCTCCTTGCCTCCCCCTGGTTCCGCTCCCAGACCTATTATTGCCCGGATCCTCAACTTCAGGGATAAAGTGGCGATTCTGCGTGCCTCACGGATTGCAGGGGAGCTCTCCTACAATGGGAATCGGGTCTTCATTTTTCCTGACTTTTCCGCTGAATTACAACGCCAACGGTCCTCCTTCCTGGAGGTCAAAAAGCGGCTGCGCCAGGAGGGTGTCGCCTATGCCATGCTTTATCCTGCCAAACTGAAAGTGACAAGGGATGGTAAAGTACAACTCTTCTCCTCACCCACAGAAGCCTCGGACTGGCTGGATGGTAAAGGTCTTCCCCAGAGGAGACGCCGCCACAATGAAGTCCGTTAACCTGTCCGCTTGAGTACTTTTTCCTCTGTCGGATCATACCGCCTATCCATGGACAGGGAGCTGACCGTCACTCCTACAACACCATGGAAACTTTTAGTTCCTGTTGGATGCAGCTGGCCCAGTACCCTGACGCGGTACTATTCCTTTGGACGTTGACTAGTCAGGTTGCATTGCTACTACTCCCTGGGCCGGCGCTATTGTCCGTGGAAGCGATGAGGCATCCCCCCTGCATTAGGGGAACCGTCGCCATGTTATGTCATTACCACTTGGGACTTGGAAATGTTTGGGTCGGGTCCTGATAGAAGTGGCTACACCCCCAGCCTATTGGGCACTGTTCTTGCACTTGGTGCTTGAGTTTTGGTTACGTTAAGGGGTCTGGGCTTGTTAGAGTTGGGTTAACAAGCGGGGTGGGATGGGAATGGTAGTTCATGTTGGGATGTCTGTTGACGTTTTCTACTGTTTGTATGTTATGACGCTCTACAGCTTGCATTGGTTCATGAGGTTTCACCGCTTCAATTCACAGGTTCACCTTCTAACTGCCCTGACTCTTTCCCTGTCCTCTGATGCAGTATAAATTTATTTTGTGGACCGTTCGGGGCTTGAATTCCAGCCTCAAGCGCTCCCTTGTATTCGACTTCCTCTTTAAACTTAAGCCACATGTGGTGTGTCTGCAGGAGACCCACCTGCTGGGATCTAGGATTCTGGCATTGAAAAAACACTGGGTAGCCAAATCCTTTAATGCTGTATA